TAGTAACTGAATATGGAGTAGCGAACTTATTTGGTAAAAACTATCAACAACGAGCTAAATTATTAATTGATATAGCTCATCCTGATCATCGTGAAGCATTAGAACGTGCTGCTTATAAACGTTTTAAAAGTCTTTATTAAACTTTGCAAGAAATAGAAAAACAATGGCTAATATCGTCATCAAAATAAAAAATATCAGAACGTCTTTTTCCTTGGATAATAACTATATACGATGAAATTTTTTTCTGAATCAATAATCTCTGTAAATGGTTTAAGAAAAACACATGAACACGGTCTGTCTCTCTGATAAAACTTTCACTTTGCCATGTTCTTTTGGACAACTTATTTTGAGAGTATGAAGCTATTAATGCGCATGTAACTGTTGCAGTGGTAATGGTGATGGATTATGGTAGTGTCTAGATATGCTCTAGTGTGTGTGTCGATATCTGTGACAGTTGCGGTTAGGGATGAGTGAAGAACGTCGTAGTTGTGCCTCACTGTGTTGATATAAAGGAGCATGCAGTTATCGGTGTGGTTGCGGGTTTTATGTCTAGAATTGGAGGTTGTTGACTAAGGGTCAGTGAAAAAAAACGAATTTTTTACAGCGCAATCAAATTATGAAAAGAATCTACATTGACGAGACCTAAGAGCAAAGCAAAATCAGGATGAATAAACATTAACCCAATATCAAAAAAGTGTCCACTCGACTCAAAATTCGTCGAGCATGCTCAGCAACGTCAACACGTCTTTGATTTCACACAAGTTGAAACTCTCGCATGGGAAAATGACTGGAAAAGACATCAAATCAAAGACAGAAAAAGGGAGATCTTTCGTGATCAAGCATTCTCATCTGACCGTTTGACCAGACGACGTAGATTTATATTCGTCAAGTTGTGTAGTAACCTTTGTCTCATTCTCTTAGTTTCTTGTGAATTGTCATTTTGAATGATGTCCGTTGAAAAAGTAGCAAAAATTTGAATAAATTTTTCTTCTAAATAAACATTGAGAACGGCATACATGTCGTAGCAGTTTTATACTCATTATTTCGACAACCAGATTCTGTTATACTCACTTTTCAAATCCACAAGAAATGTACCATTCTAGTTTGTCCCAGGAAAATCGGTATCAGAAAAACGATTTTTCAAGCAAAATTAGAAACTATTCGGCTGGAAAATGTAACTTTCTTTTTTTTAATGAATAAAAGGTGGTCGAAAAGTTTCGATTCCTCTCTGTATATTGACGTTATCTATATCAAATATATTTATGGATAGTTAATTAAATACACAGTTTTGTAGAGAATGGCCAGAGCTATCGTTTAGAAAAAATGACCCGAATTAAGTTGTAGTTATGGAAAGTTATGATAATTTTATTTACAATGACTAAGCATTTTACATCTTACATTTTTCGAAAACACAAAAATATTATTATAATTTTTGAGTCATAAAAGTCGAGCAAAATATTATTTTCTACATTTTTTGCTAGATATATTTTGTATTACTCGATAGAGTTCAACAGGCTCTAAAAGAAGGTGAATCTCAAAACAAAATTATGTTTTCTTTTCAAATACAAAATTCGGAAAAATCAGAAAGACCAATAAAAATCTAGCATATCTTAAATTGAAGTGAGTACAATTAACTTTCAATAGTTTAAGTGGGCCGTTTGTTTCGTCTGTTCATGAAACTCGGAAAGAATGTTTAAATTTCTCTATATAAGTTGCATTTTGAAACGTAAAATCAAAGAATCATTTTATTGGTCGCACTCGTTATCTTTATTTTTTTTTTTTTCTATTTTTATCATTCGTTTTTGCTGCTAATAGCCAATGCATACAAAATATTATATTAACCTCCTGGGGACCGCTGTCTTCAGACTGAAGACAAGCAGGACTGGCGAAATCAACAAAGTTTGACAAATGAAAATGATTGGTTGGAACTTTTACAGAAAATCAAACAAATTTTTC